CCAAGAGGCAGAGAAACACATTTGAGAGAATAGCTGGGGGCTGGGTGCTATTGACGACTCAGACCTGTAATACCAGCACTTTGGGAAGCTGAGGCGGGTGGATTACAAGGTCAGGAGTTCGAGACCAGCCTGACCAACATGGTAAAACCCCATCTCTAAAAATATATAAAAATTAGCTGGGCACAGTGGTGTGTGCCTGTAGTCCCAGCTGCTTGGGAGGCTGAGGCAGGAGAATCACTTGAACCCAGGAAGCAGTGCTTGCAGTGGGCCGAGATTATGCCATTGCACTTCAGCCTGGACAACAGAGTGAGACTCTGTCTCAAAAAAAAAAAAAAAAAAAAAGAAAAGAAAAGAAAAAAGAAAGAGAATAGCTGGCCTTCTCTGCCTTATCCTAATTACCCTCCCCCAAAGTAAACCACTATTCATTTGTATGTAATTTTAAATAGATATTTATCAATTAATAGAAAACAATCAGGATACATATCTGAAAATTGATGATGTTGTCTTTTGGGGAAAGGAGTCAGGTTGAAAGAGGTGTTAAGTAGGACCTTCACTTTTTTCTTTATATTTTTCACTATTTTCTATTATCTTCTGACTTGTATTTATGTATTACTTTTGCAATTAAAAATTAAATCATTGAAGACCAGATAAATGAGGGGAAAGAATTCCTTAAGGTATATGCAGTAGTATGATTACTCTGATCAAGTACAAAGTTCTCCCAGCATTACTACTCACTTGCATGTTTTGTTTTGTAAATCTTATTCTTGTGATCTCTTAAATGGGTTTTGTGTATTCCAGTAGATGTTCTCTCACTCTCTTACTTATGTAGGCTCTGTGAGTGCTTATAGGTACGTGACTGTCATTTGCTCATACCCAGTTATGTGAAACGGACTCAAGCAAAATAATACTTCTTTAGGTTGTCCTACAACCCATATTGCTAAGCACATGGCAGAGACTCAGGAAATATTTGCTGCCTGCATGAATGCATGCATGCATGTATGAATGATTACTTAAACCACATGGTGGCAAAGTTAAGGTTTGTGATGCTATTGCAAAGTACACATAGAATGCATTATTAGATTGTACTTATACCGACAGTGCCTAAGACACACTGAGGTTTTATTTCCAAATGTGTTATATAACATGAATTATTCATAAGTCAGAATCATGTAGACCTAAGATAATTATGCATATTGAATATCCATCTGTACGACTGTAGTAGTTCTTAACATCACCAGGGGTGCTTTTAAGAAACGCAGATTCCCAGATCCCACTCCAGACGTGCTCAATTAGAGTCAAAGGCTTGAGTCCAATAATTTCTAGGCAGTACCACAGATGATTCTCATGTAGCCAGCCCCACGCTGGTCTTCCCACTGGCATTCTGGAAACTATTGTTCTATGAAATCAGGAATGGTATCTGCCAACTGCCAAGTCTTTTCCTAGTGAACACCACCATAGTCTGTGTTTTTTTTTTTTTCCTTTTTATTTGAGAAACATTTCAAGCACACAAATAATATGTATCAACCACTAAGGTCACATTAAGATTTTACTTATATTTAGTTAATTAAAAAAGTAAATATTACAGAGACAGCTAGTTATCCCTTCGCTCTTGTCCCTTCCTCCTCTTTCCTTAGCTGTAACCACTGTCTTGGTATGTAACCTTTGTGCTTTAGCCAAAAACTACCAGGAACATACCTGTAGTTGGACAAGTTTGGTTTATTACTCATTGCACCAAAGGAAAATACATACCATGGAGAATGGTGAGTTATCTCCATTTTCACGAATATTCTCCAATATTGTTCCTGAAGAATGCAGTCTTACAGTAGCATTTTATTTTGATTTCTACTATACCCCGCTCTCAACCTAACCCTCTGTTATACCTAGGACAAAGTGTTAGGTAGAACAAAGTGAGAAGTTGTTAGAAAGACCCTACTACATGGTTTGTGTTTTGGTTGGGTAATACTGGGGAGGGCCTGTGGAAGCAGGGAGTTGTTCTGGATTGGGAGCCATCAGAATGTGGGGATGATTTTATGATTGGGTATTTCAATAAATCTTACCTATGGGAAGGACCAAGTGACTATGAAGCTGTAATTAGTAAAGAAGTTAGCAGTCATTCACTTAGAGGAGATGATGTTTGTTAATTTGTGGATTGCATGATGACCTTGTGTGAAGTGGCTATGCTGTGTGACTATTTACATCTGACGGTGGAACAAGGCTTAACTTCAGTGTTGGATCAGATCAGTGTATAATAACACTGAGGTTTAGATGTGAGTCTCAAGTCAATTCCTGGATTCCAGGAGTTGCTCTTCTTCTCAGCTGGCAAGTGTTTGTAATTTTACTACATATAAGTGAATTCGCAAAAGCATAGACTGCTTCTGAAAATATCATTGTATCATAATTTAAAAGGCAGCCTCCTCCACTCAGGTATTTAGGAACTAAAACTAATAGAGACACTACCACCTTCAATGCACAACTTCCAGCATTCCCAGAGGGCTGTCTGTGTTCCAGCCAGGAGAACAATGGACGGAGGCACATGTGTGGGAATTTTCTAATAAGTTAGTACTGGATGTCGTATTCCTCACCTCTCACATTCCCTTGGTCAAGACTCAATCATATAGCCAGCCTTAGCTGCAAGGGAGGCTAGGAAATGTAGTCAAATTGTGCGGCCAGAAGAGGAGAATGTCAATTTTTCATGACCATTTAGCAGTTTCTGCTACAATGTGTTCTGTTGAGGCAAGATTTTCCCGAAGAAACCTTTCAGGATATGCCATAGAAATCAACGTAAGAATGAGCAGGAGGGGTCCTTAAATATCCTAAGTTGGACATAAGTAAATTTTATCTTCTTCTATGGAGAATAAAGGAAGAAATTCTTTATGCTTGGATCAGAGTGACAAAAAGAAGAAAACCACCCCTCTCCAACAGGCAGTAGAGTCACAGTAGTGATAATACCACGAAACCCCAAGGGCAAGGTGATCATAGTACTAGAGTCCAGGGTTCTTAGTCCAGTTGGACTTCCCACAAGGACATTTTCCTTTGTTTGCCCCTCACGCAGGTTCTATATCTTATTTTTGTTAACTATAACCACTGTTACCTTCAGTGGTCCCACTTCCATTCAGTCAATATATGGAAATTTTATTATATCCCAGGGACTAATGCTAATAGTAGAAAAATACCAGTTAGTGTAGTAACGTGGGACTTCCTTTGTATAGCTGATCACTTGGCGGTAATCCACATTTTCTGTAGGCCCCTACCTGTATTCCTCTGGCAGTCCTGTGACTGTCACTCTGCTCTATATCCTGCAGCATGAGTGGGGCAGTGATAATTGGCACAAGGGCCATGGCTATGCAGGCAGCTTTGTGCTTGGCATTGGCAGGTAAGAGGAGGCTGTCAGTAAACTGAGGGGCTGCCTGTCAACTTGGTCTGAAGTTTCTTCCTTGCTTATCACAGTGTTTCTTTTTCACTGCTTTCTGCTACAGTCTGCACTCAGTTTAGGATATTCGGAGATCTCACCCAAACTTCAGGCATCACTCTTCTTTTTATACTCTTGACTGATGACTTCATAAAGCCCCAGGCGGTGGGGCAGCTTCCAGGCCCTGTGACTTTATTAGTTTCCTTGTTTATTCTGGGCAAGATAAGTAACCCAAGACAAATGGAAAGGCTGCTCATCTTAACTGCTGAATGTTTCTCAGGGTTATGGACGTTGCTTCACTTTTATTTCTTCCTTCCTCAGATCAAGCTTCTGACCTTTTTTCAAATGCCATGTTCTACCTAAGTAATTATGTGAAGTGATGTTGGTGCCTGTTTAATTTCTAATTCCTTGTTTTCTCCCCACACTGGATACCATTTGTTCTTACCGGATACTTTGTGTTTCCTTTGATGCCCATGTCCTAAGGACTTGATGAATCCGATCTTAGCATTGGGCTTCAAATAGTAGGTGGAAGCAGAGGGCTAGCAGGAGAAGGGAGGGAGATGGGAGCAGGCTGCATGAGTCTGCTGTAATATAAGTCAGTGCTCAATGAGGTATGTGGCTGCAAATGTGCAATGAAGAGGTAAAAAATCCCACAAATTACATGAGAAAAGGACAAAGGGGTAGGAATTAATCAAGGGTAGGGAGAACAGGCCAGGCACTGAGGTAAGGACTAGGCAACAATTTCAGTGTTCTATGCTTGGCATAAGTGAGAGGAGAAATTGGGCTGATGGTTTGGATTTTTAATATAAAACAGAATTTCTTATTTAGACCGAGGACATTTTTAGGTCAATTTTTTTTTTTCAGATCTAAAAGAAGATATTAGAAATGCAGTCCAGAATCAGCAGCACTTTTTAACTTCTATGGAGGGTTTAGTGCCTCTCTGAAATAAAATGCAAAGGAGTGTGTGTGTGTGTGTGTGTGTGTGTGTGTGTGTGTGTGTCTGTTGACAGATGGTCCACTTTTGCTTTCAGTGTCCCAAAGGGCTCTGTGATCCATAAATGGAAAAGAGTTACTGGATTTGAGGGTCTGTGTATCCCGATAGCAGTCAAAGCCAGGAGGGAGATGAGATGACTTGGAGAAAGACCCCCAGAGGGTAAAGGGCTTCATGCAAAACTGGTGTGAAGCAGAATGTTGTAGGCCGTTAACATTCCACAGCCCTACCCTGAAGTCTGAATGTTAAACATGAAATGTTCAGATAGAAAATTAGGGCCTCATGCTGTGGAATGTGCTCTGAGAGAGCATTTGAATTTATGTCAGTAACACAAAGTGGAAAAAATGAAGTCATAGGTTCACATTTCACAAACCTAGTTTTATATTTTTGAAATACTGTTTTTGAAGAATGCAGTCTTGCAATAGTATTTTGTTTTGATTTCTACTATACCTTGTTCTCAACCTAACCTTCTGTTCTACCTTGGACGATTTTAGTCATCACCCAAGTAAGTCTACGTTTATTTATTGTATCCAAAGGAACAATAAATAATTATATTTGTATTTTTGTGAAGGCACTAATACTCGTTTGTGTTCCTGGTAGCAAAACTGCTGAGTTCTTGAGCAAACTGAACACAGAATCTCCAGGCAGAAGTGCCTGTCAAAGTGCTGTTTGTGGCCCACAATCCTCAACATGGGTAAGTGAAATGCTGTGCAGGGTGCTACCTGGCACCTTTTAAAGAGGTACTTAGTGACTGAAGATTAGGGGTATAGAGTGACTTGTATATCATAGAATGCTGGAACTGAAGACAGATGACCTGGTCTGAAATTTTGACCTCAATGTTGCCTGAGCTATAAAATAATGCTTATATTATTTTATGGCACCTGAACTAAAACAGCCTCAGAGAAGTCCTTGCTCTCACCCAATCATCCATTTTCCCACCCACCCACCCATCCATCTATCCATCCATCATCCATCCTTCTATCCAACTGTCCATCCATCCATTCTTCAAATTCATAGGTCTATATAAGGCCTACTGAGTGCCTACAGTTTCTACCCAATGAAACTTAGTAAAGGAGAACACCAATGGTTTTAAAGCAAACCGCCGAGTGTAGAGCATATCATGATAAGAAAGCACTACTGCCTTATCAAGAAGCATCTAAGTCAGACCATGTATGTTAGATGCTTCCTGGGAAATAACACCTGAGCAGAAGCTTAAACTATGAATCAGTAAAGTGATGAGTCCTTCCAGATATCAGAATTAATAAAGACTCAGAGAGCAAGAATTAAGGTATACAGGCAAGAAATTAGCATGGCTTGTGTTGTGGAAGAAGAGTTATGTAGCTGCAGTGCAGAAAAGTGAGCTGGAAGATTGTAGAAGTGAGCAGGAATCATGAGGACCATTTCTCAGTGGTGTTCTGTCTGGAAATTCAGGTGGGACAGTTCATTATGTGAGTTGTCTTGAGTACTGCAGACACTGGGCATGAAGTGCTAGTAGCACCATTCAGACACTGAGACATCTAGAAATGCCCCACACGGTGCTTACCAGTGGGACATGTAGAAATGTCCCACCTACTGCGTGCCAATGGTGCTCTGGGTAGAAAACCACTGCAGAAATTGTATGCCACATTGGAAAACCTGAACCTCATCCTGTGAGTACTGAAAGTATTGAACATTTTTAAACAGGGAAGGCTTAAGGTTAGATTTGGGTTTTCATTCTGGATCACGTTGGTAACATTGCGAAGGAGGGATCTAAGGGAACAGAGAAGCAGAGAGGCCCCTGAGGCTTTTGAATCCATCTGGGTGAAGAATGATGAAGACTTCAGCTAGCACAGCAGGGGAGAGGATGGAGAAGAGAGGGCAGGTCAGAAAACTGCCTGGAAGGTGAAAGCAGCAGGGCTTGGTTACTGAGTGGTTAATTGGGGACAAGAAAGTAAGTGTAATTAAGGATAATTCTGGGAAAGGATTGTTGCTGAAAGAAAAGATGAGTGTATGTTTCTTAAAGTCTCAGGTTTCTCAGGGTTTGGGCAGCTAAATAAGTTGTTAAAGAACCCTCATCTTCATCTTCCCTTACCCCTTTCTCAGTAGAGATCATGTTTTTAAGTGTCAGGAAGATATTATGACATTCCTTAGGAAAAGGTCATTATACTCTTACTTATAAACCTTTAGTTGTTTCCTTTTTTTTTTTTTTTTTTTTTTTTTTTTGCTGCTTCTAATGTAATGTTCTAAAGTGTAAATTCAGCAGTGTGGGCCCCACAAGTTATATTAACGTTAATCCATCATCTCTCTTCCCTCACTGCAGGGCTCTGGGGGAAACAGTTGAAAAGCTGTAGGTAGCAGAGTTAAATCATGTGTAGATGACAGCCCTATATACCTGTCTGGATATCCTTGTGCCTGTCAGGGAGGGAGAGGGAGAACAGGAGTTGGATAGCTTTAACCACTGGGTTTTCGCCTACTGGGCTGGTCTTCCTTTCTGTTTGAGGGCCCCCTGAGTCCTTGATGTGTAACGCCTGCAGAACTGTGTGTGCTGCTCCATTGATTTTGGCTCATTTCTTCAGTTTAACAAGATCATCCTGAATTTTAATATTGTCATCCAAAGCATTAGCAATGTCTCCCAGAGCTGCATTTTCTGTGGATTGATTAGTGCATTAATCATAGGATCCTCAGAGGTATTAACAGAAAATATGGAGCAGGATTGGACCCAGGATGGTTCCTTATAAACTGCACACAATAGCTGCTCCCATTTTGACCCCAAACTATTAATAAGTTTTCGGTGTTCAATATATTTAACTGACTTTTTACCCATATTATACTCCTCTCATTCTTTCTAATCCATATGCATAGAATTCTTCTGAGGATGCTTTGCAGAACAATTTCTAATGCTTTAGGAAAATCAAATATGTACATTGCACTTCTGTGAAGAACATTTCTGTGTAAAAGGAGGACACCTGCAGTTTATTTTAGCTATGGTCAAATTATAGAATGTGAACACTATGTGATTACTATCTATATGGGGTCTGATGAGTTGGAAGAATTTATATTTGTTTTTTTTAATACTGTAATTTTACTACCTAATGTAACTTTTCTGAGAAGACTTTTTCTATTGTACTTTTCTCCTTTAAAGGTGGATCTGCCATTGGCAGATGGGGATTTAATAAATACTAGAAAATTATGTCAATGTAAAAGATTACAAGAAAAATCCTTTAGTGGTTACAAGAAAATTCCTTTTGGCTTAGGACTTCAGACAAGAGATATTTACAGGGTTCACTTTTGCATGTGGATTAATATAGTTCTTTGTATAGTGTGCGTAGGCAGAAGTACCAGCATCATTATACCTTCCTCAGTGATCTTCACTGCATATTTCTAGTTAAATAAGAAATGACTTCTAGTCTCTGTTTTGCTGCCCTCATGTTTTTTTTAATTGGACAGGGTTTCACTCTGTCACCCAGGCTTGTGTGCAGTAGCGTTATCTTGGCTCACTACAACCTCCACCTCCCAGGCTCAAGCTACCCTGCCACCTCAGCCTCCTGAGTAGCTGGGATCACATGCATGTACTCCTATGCCCAGCTAACTTTTGTAGTTTTTGTAGAGACAGGGTTTTTCCACATTGCCCAGGGTGATCTCAAACTCCTGGGCTGAAATGATCCACCCACCTCGGCCTCCCAAAGTGCTGGGATTACAGGAGTGAGCCCCTGCACCCAGCCTTATGCCCCGACTTCCTTAACAAAGAATAACAATAACAAAAAAATCTTATCCTGGTGTTTCACTGCCCCAAATCATTCAGTGGTCCCTCATGTCTTCAAGGATAAAAACAAAATGTCTTAGCTTAGGCATAAAGCCCTTTCGTCTCTCTGCCCCTTCCTCTTTCCCTCAGTTTTAGGTTCTGTTTCTTTCTTTAGAATTGCCCCTCTCTAGTCCTCTAGGGTCTGGAGGACTGCCCCCGGGGCTAAATCTTTTCTTCTGCAAAGAGGTAAGGAGAAGCAAAGCTTTTGAAAGTAGGAGCAAAGATTTAGATGCAGACCAATCTCAGGCTCCACTGCAGACCTCCTGAATCAGAGCTTGCATTTAATACAATCCATGGGAGATGTGTGTGTATGTTAATGTCTGAGGGGCCAAGCTCTGCAGCTCATGCTTCTCCAGCCTCTCTTACACTACTGTGAGCGCTCAGGTTGGTTACTGTAATTTTTATCTACGTGTCACATGCTCACTCATTAAGAAGCAGAATAAAACCTTCATTCAGTGAATATGTGTCCCTTTGTGGCACTTGAATCCCACTTCCACCTTGCTGCTGTAACAAATTACCAACAACATAGTGTCCTAATACAACAAAACGTATTCTTTTACATTTCTGGAGGTCAGAAATAAAAAACGAGTTTTAAAATGCTAAAATCAGGGTAGCAACAGGAATGTTTCCTACTGGAGGTTCCAGGGGGCATCTGTCCCCTGTCCCCCCAAACCCTTGGCACATGGCCGCATTGGTCCAATTTAGCTTCCATCTCTCCCCACCTTCTGTACCCTCTCTGACCTTCTTGCCTTCCTCTTATAATGACCTTTTTGATTACAGTGGGTCCACCTGAACCATTCAGGCTAATCTTTCTACTTCAAGATCCTTAATCTGCAAAGTCCCTTTGTCATATAAAGAAACATTGAGATTTCAGGGATTAGGACATCTTTAGGGGGTCATTAAGGTGCTGGGGACTCCACTACCTCTTTATTTTCTTAACAGCTCTGAATATCTGTTAGTATGTGTTGCTCTCTCTTGACGAATCAGTTTTAGACCTTATTAACTCATTTCTTCCTCTCATTCTTATAATTATTCAGTAATTTGAGTTTCCCTATTATGACTATATAAATATTTCTTCACTGCTAAGCCAGTTGGTGTACTCTGGTTACATCTTCCTGTACATCTTTTTAAACATATTTTAGCATTTTCTTAGTTTCTTTTGAACGTTTGACTGTCTTCTGACAGCTTTTGTGACTGTTCTACAAAATGCCTCTTGATGCAAATTTCTAAACGGTTTTCCATTTTATGCCCATCAGATAACTTGTCAATTTTGTTTTTTCTTTTCTCTTCCTCCTGGATCCCTCTTTCCTCCTGCTTTAAGCTGTCCTGGGTTTTTGTAGGCCTGCTGCACAGCTGTTGTTTTGGGATTCTCCTTTAACCCAATGGTTCTCAGCCTCCGCTGCACGCTAGATTCACCTAGGAGCTTTAAAAATCATGGACCTCCAGCGAGCCTGCTGTATTGTGGCCTGGGCTTCAGGGTTTTAAAAAGCTCCCTAGGTGATTCTAATGTTCAGCCAAGGTTGAGGATCACTGTTTTAAAGTCATCCTGGGAATTGCTTTTATTGCTTTCCTATGTTGGGTTCTCTGATTTCTGGGTCTCATTTTTTGCATTTTTTTTTTCTTTTTTTGCTTTATTTCTTTGTTTTGGTGAAGTATATTACTTAGTAGCTTCCGAAGAGAAGGCATATGGAAGGTAAATACATTCAGGTTCTTTCATGTCTGAAACTATCTTTATTCTGCTCTCATACTTTGGTTGCGTTTTTACTGCTGATTGTTCTAAATTGGAAATATTTTTCCTGCAGAATTTTGAGGCATTGCTTTTCTAACTTTGAATATTGGTTCCTGAGAAATCCAAGGCCATGTGAATTTCAGGCCTTATATGAGGACTTTTCTCTACTTCCTCTGAAAATACTTTAATATCATCTTTTCTTTTCCTGGTATTCTGTAATGATGTGATTTAGTGTGAAAGTCTTTTTTAAATTCATTTTCAATCTGGAAATTCATCTCTAGTTCTAGATTATTTTCTTGTGTTATTTCTTTGATTTATTTCCCTTCATTTTCTCTTTATGGAATTTCTATTATTCAAATTGTAGACCTCCTGGATTTATCTTCTAACTTTAGAGAGTTTCTCCTGTAATTTATCTTTGACTACGTTTTTTCCTATGTTTTGGCATATTTTCTTGACTTTATCGTCTAAATATTTTACTGATTTGGGTTTTTTGGGGAGGGAAGGGTGGGAGATTTTTTAAAAAATTCTCCAAACTCCTTTTCTTTGTTACTTTTAAAATATATGTCACTTTATAGTTCTCAGAAGAAACAGTACAGGAAGCAGAAGAAAACTTCAAAGAGAGGGCCTCAGAGGTTTACTGGTCAGTATGCAGGACGTTATAAAGTCATTTCATTCTCAGCCTGGCTGAGAATGCTACTGTCTTTACATGTGTGCCCAGTTTAATTTATCTAGAAAATACACTTTTCTTTTTTCTTTTTTTTTTGTATTTTTAGTGGAGACGGGGTTTCACCATGTTGACCAGGATGGTCTTGATCTCTTGACCTTGTGATCCACCTGCCTCGGCCTCCCAAAGTGCTGGGATTACAGGCTTGAGCCACCGTGCCCGGCGAAAATACACCGTGTGTGGGTGAATTAGCACCTGCATTTTCAAGATGGGAGCAGGTATATGGTGGTGAAGGGCTTCATTTGTCATTCAACTAAAATACACTTTTATTTATCCTCCCCCAAAGCTATGCTTATAATGTACTCATTCAATTAACAGTCCTTAGGCCTCCTCTGTGCAAGCCCTGTGTCAGGACACTATATGAAACTTCCTAGTAATTCCTTTCTTTTTACCTGCCTGTTACCCATCTGTCTTCCCCAGTAGCTGGTGCATCCATTTCTTGGGGCCTCATGTTGCTCTGTGGAAAGAACTGGCTCCCCATGGGTGTCCTCTAGCCCCTTCCAGCAAGTCTTCAAGTTTGCTCTTTCCTGTCTAAGTCATTTACTGTTTCTTTACCTACTTTGCCTTCATAGATATTCCTCTGTGAATATGGATCTCTTGGTTTTTGAAGACAGAGCTTGTGTGTATTTCATTTTCTCCTCTGTTTAGGGTAATTTCGGGGAGAATGGAACAGGAACATTTTTACTCCACCATCTGGAAAGGAGAACTTAATGCTTGTCTTGGGTTCAGACTAACACCTCTCAAAATTTACATGGAAGCCCTAACCCCTAGCCCCTCAGAATGCGACCTTATTCAGAGGTAGCATCTTTACAGAGGAAATACGTTAAAATGAGGCTCCTGGAGTGGGTTCACATCCATTACGAAAGGTGTCCTTATACAAAGGGGAAATCGGGACACAGAAGCATGCATACAGGGAAGATGACGTGAAAAGATGTATGATGAAGATGGAGTCTGCAGGCCCAAAAGAGAAGCCTGGAATAGATATTTCTCTCATGGCCCTCAGAAGGAACCAACCGTGAGGACCCCTCGATTTTGGACTTCAAGCCTCCAGAACTATAAGATAGTAAATTTCTGTTATTTAAGCCACCAGTATCATAATACTTTGTTATGGAAGCCCTAGCAAACTCATGCACTGCTGTTTTCCATTTGCCCATATGACGCTCTTCTCCCTGTGTAGTCTGACTCCTACTCACTCTTTGAAATGTAACTTAGTCTTAATTGATTTGGAAAGTGTCCTTGATCCAGTTTAATTGAATATTCTTCTTTATGGGTTCCTCTATTATAACACCTATCATGCTGTACTATAATCATTAATCTTCTAGTTTGACTTTCACACTAAGCTATAAATGCTTGAGGTCTGGAATCGTGTCCTGACACAGGGCTTGCACAGAGAAGGCTTAAAGACTGTTAACTGAATGAATATATTATAAGCATAGCTTTGGGGGAGGATAAATAAAAGCGTATTTTAGTTGAATCACAAAAATGTAACAATATTGTATTAAATGAATATTTCAGTGTTAGAAAAATTGCGTGAATACAGTGACTTAGAAATTTCTAGTGTTTAGATCTAAGAAAATAGTGATCATTTTTTCCCTGTCTATTATTTTTGAACAGAAACTTCCTGTTCTGCCTAGGGATCACAGCTGGGTAAGAAAGCATTAGGATTGCACGTAACTTTGAACTTTTCATAAGTTCAGATGCCACGTGACTTCCCAGTTTCTGTGGCCTATTTTATGGCACCTTATTGAATAACAAGGTGTTTAATAACCACTTTTTTCTAGTCAAAAACTAAGACCTGTATTCTGATAAAAGAACAACAAAATGACAAGTTTAAACAGAGAATATTCAAATAGAATTTAGATACTTCATTCAAGTTGTAACTGAATTCAAGTTGCTTTAACTAAATATTTTATTCTGCCTTTTAATATCTTGACTAGAAGCTGCCTGCCTGCCTTCCTTTCCCTCCCTTCCCTTCTCTCCCTCCACTCCCTCCCCTCCCCTCCGCTCTCCTCACCTCTCCTCCCCTTCCCTTCCTTCCCCCCTTCCTCCCTAGGTCTTATATGGAATATTTGTGATAAAGACAAACCTTCTCTAATATAAAAAGAAGTTGGAAGTTGTGGCCGGGCGCGGTGGCTCAAGCCTGTAATCCCAGCATTTTGGGAGGCCGAGGCGGGTGGATCACGAGGTCAAGAGATCGAGACCATCCTGGTCAACATGGTGAAACCCTGTCTCTACTAAAAAATACAAAAAATTAGCTGGGCATGGTGGTGCGTGCCTGTAATCCCAGCTACTCAGGAGGCTGTGGCAGGAGAATTGCCTGAACCCAGGAGGCAGAGGTTGCGGTGAGCTGAGATCGTGCCATTGCACTCCAGCCTGGGTAACAAGAGCGAAACTCTGTCTCAAAAAAAAAAAAAAAAAAAAGTTGTTAGAGAATCACTCTTCCCCTTCTGTCTTATCACTGTCCCCTTGAGTTTAGGGTGCAAATAAGAGAAAGTCATAGGATGTATGCTTAGCCCAGTGCAGCAGGGCTTGGATAAACAAGAGCTTTCTGAACACATGAAGCTCCAGTTTTCCAATTGGCACTGCCATAGATGATACCATTTTGAAACCGTCTCTGTTTTTCTGGAAAGTAGTTCTTATTATTTGATGGTATATGGGTTTTTATAGTGACAGAATGGGAGAATAAACTAAAAAGAGCTGAGAAAAATTGTATAAAAGTTCATATAGGTTGGGAAAAGGGGGAACCACCTTATATGAACTTTATGGATTATTAGTCCTGAGAACTAGGTCTGAAATATGTAACCTGCTGCCATGATGGTGCTGTAATTTCCTAAGTATTAGCTCTTTGCCTTACAGAAGCTGGGGCTGCCAATCAGTGTGAAGCAGAGAAAGCATATGACAAATAAACAGAACACTTGAAATGCCATAAATTTCAGAACACATGGTCACTATGCCAGGGTGTGGAACTCTGGTATGGTGGGTCAGAGAGACTGAAGGGCATTCTCCCACATGGTGGTTCTCCAAAGGCTTTGTTGTCATATGTTCCTGAACAGGCTTTGTTTTCCTTTTCAGAAATAGAAATGCGCTTCATACAGATTAGGGATGCAAGCACTTAGAAAGGATGCAGCAAATCACACTGCCATGTGTGTACCTATGCAACAATCTTGCATGTTCTTCACATGTACCCCAAAACTTAAAATGCAATAAAAAAAAAAGAAAGTATGCATCCTTGAAATTATATGGTATCAACTACTACTTGACAGGCTGCTTAATCAGATATCATTAATGGGCTAGCCATGCCAGTGCTTCTACAGACAATGCCACCATTGCTTGTCTTTAATACTGACTGATCAGCTAGTTGAAACATTCTTGAAAATGTCCTAAACTTCCCACTGGAAGGAATAAACTGTTGATTATCTCCGAGGGGATTTTTTTTTTTCATTGCACTTTAGGTTCTGGGGTACATGTGCAGATCATGCAGGAAGGTTGCACAGGTACATACATGGCAAGGTGGTTTACCACCTTCATCCCCCTATCACCTGTATCTAGTGTTTCTCCCCACATTATCCCTCCCCATCCTCCCCACTCCCCGCTGTCCCTCCCCTAGCCATCCCCAGCTGACCACAGTGTGTGATGCTCCCCAAGGGGTATTTTTAAAGCTTAATTAAACATTTAGATTATCCTTTCTAATGTGCAGGGTGATTGTGCTTACACTAGTTTTCTTTTTATATATCCCAAGGGACATATTCAGATATATGCATAAATCACTCAATAACCAAGTGTGTATGGAGATCTTACTATATGCTCAGTACAGAGGTTAAGTTATTAGCACCAGGCCTGTGGTAGGCAGCTTGGTGTACTGTGGTGATACTTTATCCTATCAAGTTTTTGGCTTTTTTTTTTTTCCCTCTCTGTTCCTTTACAGGACAGAAGCTGGGCTTATAGAGATTCTCTAAGGGCGGAAGAAAACAGAAAATTACAAAGGATGAAGGATGAACAACATCAAAAGGTACTTACAAGCCCCTGCTAGTTATTGCTAATTGTTTACTTGAGGTACTAGATAATTTTGAAGAATTTATGAACAGAAATATTTAGATAAACGAAAATCCTGAAAACAAGAATACAAACATTGAAAATAAAAAATGCATTTCGGGATGTGTTTTAAGAGTATGGTGGTGGCTCCTTCTGGTCAAAACTTTCATGGAACCTAGCCTCATGGAGGCTACAGTGGATCTGCCATACTTGGTGGTGGTAGGTTGTAAAGAAGATGTTAGAGCCCTGGTGAACTTCTCATCTGCAAAACAAAATACCACCACCGCTATTTTTAAACCAAAGATACATGAAATTAGAGATGGTGTCCAGAGAATGCGATAATGCATAAGAAAGTAGGCATCCAAAGTTATGAAACTGGCATAAACATTCACTAAAAATAGTTATACACATAGGGTAAAACAGTTACGCTACACAGGTATACAAATATATGAGGCATTCCATATATTTTGAGCAATGGAAATCAGTGAAATGAATTCAGCATATTCTAAGAAAAGTGCTTAAAGAATAATCTTCATTACAATATGAAATTTCTGGTATGGTAACTGAAAATACTCAATGGGATATTTGATGGTCACACCTGCTTTTAATAAATAGGCTAGAAGCTCTCAGCATGAGATGAGAATGATGAGAAAGACCCATCGTTAACTCCGAAGTGCCGCTTGATTTCAGATCCTTTAAACAAAAAAAAAGGGAGTGGGGTGGGACTCCAACTAGCTAAATAATTTATCTTTCCCATCATTCTTATTTTCCAACTTTTCCTCTTGCCATGCTAGTGGTTGACAAATCCTGTCACTATTTCTTATAGAACATTTATCAAATCTATGTCTTCAATTATATAATTAACTAGAATTCTAACTCCCATTTTGATTTCACTGATTTGGTTTAATTATTTTTTTTGTCTTTCTCCAACAAGGTAATTTATTACAGCAATTGTGTGTAAAAATTCCATTGAAAAATGGACTGTTTGTACTCATTGCTGTTGCTATAATTTGACCTTTTTGAGTGCTACCTTCTTCCCAACAGTGTGGAACCCCTTTCTCATTCACAATTTCACCTGGCATATGGTATAAATGTGTCAGCAGGCTGTTTTAATGACACCATAGGTAGTCATTAAATCCTTGAAAGAAATTATGTGAGTTGTAAACTTACTTATTTAGTTCCTGTGTAGGCAAAGATGAACCATGTAACATTTTTATCCCAGTGTTTTTTTTTTTTCAATAAAAATCTTTTTGTTTTGAGAGAGTTCTAATCTTGAAATCTACACTTAAATAGCAATGTTATGGTAAGATTGTAGTAGTTAACAAGTAGAAGCTAAATCTGGCACATATTCATGTTGTACATTTTAATGATATCTGCCAAATGACATAAAAATGTTCATCTGTTTCTATGAGCTTTTAACTTAACATAAAATTGTGAAGTACTTAGCATACTGTGGTGAATGCTGCAAAGTCAGTTGTAGATATGATTTATTTTTAAATAACTTCTAGTGGATTTTAAAGTGTTTTTAAAAGTTTGGTATATGTATTTGAAACATAAAAGTATTAAAAGTAGAACTTCTGACAAAGCGAATGCTTAACAAAGTAGAATACTAGATCTAGGATTTAATTTTTAGGTTGAGCAGTTATTTTAAATAGTGAAAATTAAAGTTTTTATTTCTTAATCTTGTTTTTATTCTAGACATAGATAAATTGATATATACATATTTTCTGGTTATTGATTGAACATATTTTTATTATATATCTTTTTACGTAAATTACTTCCTTTTACTTATTGTAGCTTTCAAGAAAATGAATAGCTTTAATATATAAATAATTCCATCCTTAGGGATTTCAGTAACTGTAGACTACACAAGGACATTTATCCATCTATTCTACCTTATTTTTACTTCTCTCTTTTTTGCCTGATGTGTTGTTGTGGGCAAATAGTCCATTGAAGGCATTTCTTTATTTGTAGATCCTTTTATTCCTTATCACTTAAATGATTTACCTTAGGAAAACTGGAGGATCATGTTTATGGTAAAAAGAAAACACAATACATTTCTATCATTGCATCCAGTTATGTGCTTGTTTATTCCATTCATTCAACAAATACTTATTGGCTACCTGTATGGAATAATTCTTAGTTAAATAATCTAGGTTAAGTTTAGGTGACAGCACGTAAGGTTTGTTCTATGTGTCTCTCTGACTTTCACATTTTTACTCTTGGCTCTGGGGACAAAAAAAAGCCTCCTCAAGTTTAAACTCTAGATATTGTACATGTGATTCACTTCCTTCTTCTAGAAATTTAATTCCTCTTTTTTCTATACCTTTAATGCATTCTTCTCCATTGGATACTTTTTTTTGTCAGAAATATGCCATAGTTGGTGCCAGTGGGTCATGAAGATTATAGAGCACATGTGAACTTCTCATCTCCTCTTACCATTCTAAAATCAACCAGCTAACCCCTTCCTTGATTTTGCTATCCTCAGAGATATTACATTTTCCGCTTCTACTAAATTTAAAAAAAGACAAAGGAGTCTTACTGTAACCACTTCTTTATTACCCACTTCATTCTTAATTCCTTATGATCTGGTTTATAGTCACAAATGCTGTGACTGAAATTGCTTTCTAAATGTAAAATCCTTTCTGAACATAAAGTTTAGTGGTCTTTTTATAATTCCTATCTTCTCCCTGAACTCTGTAACACTATCTAACACCACTTTAAAGCTTTCCTTTTTCTGGCCTTTTTAAAAAACTGTATTATTCTGGTTGATCTGTCTTAGAGTAATCTATCCCAGCATTCATTCATTCATTCTATTGGCAAACATATATGGACTTCCTATTCTATAACAAGCCTTGTGCAAGTTGCTATAATTAAGATCAGGATAGACAAGGTTGCAGCTGTCCTGAAGTTTACATATTACAGGAGAAGGCAGACAATTAAAAGGAGACAAATAAATACAATATTATACTTTTAAATTTTATAGTGATTCATCACTTTGTGGTAATCAGTTGAACTAATTATATTAGTCAGTTATTTCATTACTATAAAGAACTACTGGAGACTGGGTAATTTATAAAGAAAGGTTTAATTGGTTCACAGTTCTGCAGGCTGTACAGGAAGCATGGCTGGGGAGGCCTCAGAAAACTTACAATTGCAGTGGAAGGAGAAGGGGAAGCAAGCACATCTTCACATGGGCAACAGGAGAGAGCAAAGGGGGAAATGCTACACACTTTTCAATGACCAGATCTCCTGAGAATGCACTATCATGAGAAGAGCAAGGGGGAAATCTGCCCCCACGATCTAATCACCTTGCACTAGGTTCCTCCCCCAAAATTGGGCATTACAATTCAACATGAGATTTGGCTGGGGACACAGAGCCAAACCATAACACTAATGCTGCAAGGAAATAAATTATGTGTTATGACAATTTCAGGCTGGTTTATTAAATATTGTTGATTGCCTGCTCATCTATAGCTCTGATTTTTCTTCAACTGTCAGTCCTACTTTGCATGAACTATGTTTCAGAAAAGGCAGGTGCTACTCCAGCTCCAGGAATTCACTCCCAAAGTGGTCTAACTCTTCATGGGAATTCCATTCTCCTTGACTATGATTGGTTTCACTATGGACACATGACACAGTTTTGACCAATGAGACTAAGGAAGCCTATCTTTTAGGATAGATTTTATCAAAATGAAGTATACTGCTTTTCACATTTAATGATTTGTCAGCTCGATTTCTTTTTTGACTATTTTGTTTCATTCTAATAATCCTTCTACCAGTTTTTAAATTAGTATTTACATGACATTTCTTTAATCACTTACTTTTAACATCTCTGTGTCATGGTTTAAAGCAGATTTTGAGTAGAAAAAATGTCTTGTTTTTCTTTTACCCAGTTTCAGAATCTCTTTTAATGGGTAGATTTGATGTGTTCTCATTTATTATGATTACTAGCATATTTGCATGTATTTGTATTCTTACTACATAATTTATATTTTATTATGTTTTTTTTTTCTTTTTTTTTAACTGACACTGGATTTTCTGTTTCATCTATTCAGGTTTTTTTTTTTCCCTTCTCTCCACTCCCCCTTCCTGTGCTATAAGAAATTTCACAATGTTTGTTTCTGTTTCTAATCTTGCCTAGCCTTTGGTTGTCTCTTTTAATCTGAAAATACATGTCTCTCTTCAGTTTTCCTTTTTTCTTCCTAATTTTTTTTTTTTTTTATGTATCTTTCCCCATTTTGTCTTTGCTCTCCATTTCTGGGACATCTATCCCAGAAAAGTCCAAATGAACTTTGGACATTTCAGATCTATTCTGTACATACCTTCATTTTCTTATACTTCTTATCTCTTTGACCTTTTTTATTGTATTCTGGAAGAAAGCTTTAGCTAGATCATCCTGCTCACTAAATTATTTCATGACTTCTCATTCTGCTTAGTTGGCATATATTGAGTTTGTTTATTTACCAAGATTGCTGGATTACTTTTTCATAGCAGTGTTCTGCTTTATAAGTGCAATATTCTTTCTCATCTCATCTTCTCATTTAATGTTTACATGTTTGTAACTATACAAACATTAAAGTGTTTTAATCTTTATTTCCATTTTAATCTTTATCTCCCATGGAATTCTTTCTCAAATGTTTGATTATTCTTGTTTATCTCCTTATCTGTATTTGGGTACACTGCTCAATGAGGTATGTAGGAGTTTGTCTTCTGTGTTGGCAGCCTTCTGTTCTCCGATAGTCAGTAGGTACTTGGGACATTGCCCTGTTTCTCTGAGCCCAGCCATGCCTCTCCCGTTCACTGCTTACCTCTTGCTGCCTACTGTGCAGTGCAAGTGTGGGAAGGGAAAGAACCCACCACCAAGCTGCTCTCAGTGCAGTTTTCTAACTGATCATCTTAATGACTGTCTCAGTATTCTTTCTGGAGCTCTTTCAGAAGGAGGTGGACTGAGCTCCAATTTATCCTGCACATTGG